GAGTGTGGCTGCCTGGCGAGTGTGTGCCCCATCCAGAGGGGGCAGCTGCCAATCACCTCCAGCCATTTGCTGCTTTGATGGAATATGGAAATATGGACAATGTTGCTAATGCTCCAGATTTTTAAAGAGAAACAGGAAATCTGGATTTTTAAAATGAAATCTTCCTGTTATCAAATGCAAGTAACTAATTTTAAAAAGGTAAAAAGTTATGCATGTCAAACCTACACATGTACAGACAAGACGCAGCCCGAGCCCACCAGTTTGGGACCTCTGCATTCAGTGATGCCTGGGACACTCGGACAGTCCATGACCAAGGATCTTGTCTCAATTTTTAGCCAAAGTTGCTTTCCTAATTCTTTTTCCTGTACTTTCCCACTTTCCCATACTAAGAAAACATTTCTCCCAATGTCCATTTGCATCCTGCCCACTTTCCATCTAACATTTGACCTATATAATGCCTTACCCCTTGGTAGACCTTGAACCCTCATTTCTTCAGTTGGTGGAGGAGAAGTCCTGGATAATTTTACAGAGATAAAAGGGGCTGGTATATACCTCAAAGAATTGAAAGCAGAGACTCAGATATGTTTATACCAATGTTCATAGCAGCATTATTCACAACAGCCAAAATGTAGAAACAACCCAAATGACCATTGATGGATGAATGGATAAAAAAAATGTGGTACAATACAATGGAATATTATTTAGACCTTAAGAAGGAATGAAATTCTGACACATGTTACACCATGGGTGAACCTTGAAGATATTATGTTATGCAAAATAAGCCAAACACAGAAGAATAAATATTATGATTCCACTTATATGAGGTACCTAGAGTAGTCAAATTCATGGAGACAGAAAGCAGAATTTGTGGTTGTTGGGGGCTATGGGGAGCGCGGAATGGGGGGTTATTGTTCAATGGGTATGGAGTTTCAGTTTGGGAAGATGAAAAAGTTCTAGAAATGGATGGTGGTGACAGTTGCACAACAATATGAACATATTTAATGAAATTGAACTCTACACTTGAAAATGGTTAAAATAGTAAATTTTATATGATGTATGTTTTGTAAAAAAAATTTTTTTAAAGAGGCTGGATACTTGTCTGGAATTTTCAGATCAGATGAAGCAATATGAGAGGCTCTTTCCAACACACTGTGCTGAGGAGCCATCGCTACAACTCCCACTGTCATGTTGTCTCTGAGACTTCCTTCTAGGGCTCCTCACATACCGTGGAGACCACTTGCATGTCACTAAAGCTCACTTAGGCTTCATGCATTTGGAGGAGTGAGTCTCAGTCCCAGCTGCACTTTAGCAGCTTTGAAAAATACTGATGCCTGGGCCGCACCCTTAGAGAATTTGGTTCAATGAGTGTAGCGGGGGAGCCTGGTCTCTGCATTTATTAAGAGCCTCCCAGGTTATTCTAGTGTGCAGGCGAAGTTGAGAACCACTGATAGAGAGCTCTGAATCAGTAGGGCATTTTATGTATATTCTAGATGAGTAACTCAAAGACTGTGTCAGGTAGTGCTGAGCAGGTGCCTCTGGCAGAGCAGCTTCGGGCAGGTGAGCTTGTCTTGGGAAGGGTCCTGCAGGAGTGGATGGATCTGGAAGCATGACTATCTGTGCCCCATCAAGAGGCAAGGAATGAGCAAGCCACATTTAGGGGACTTGATTTGGTAGAAGGAGAAAAAAGAAGGTTGAGATTAAGTAATATAACATGAGACAACAGGGCCTAGAATTCTGATGTGAAGGGATGGGATTGTTCCTATTGGCTGGGAGCAAAATCTTATAAATGGAGAATATTCACTTCTGCAGAGAACTTCTTAGATTTCGATCTCAAGTAATTCAGTGGTAAGAGAAGTAATACAAGATTCTCTAAACAGGACTCTATCTAAGCCACTGCAATTCTCTGTCAAAATAGCCCAGGCCCCAGTCTAAAGGGAAGATTTCACTAGAACAGTATCGAGACCTACAAAACTGCTGGACTAAAGTTAGGCTTATTCAATTAAGTGACTTGACTGAGTCAGTTTTTTGATGGATTATAGATAAAAACCTAAAAATAAAATATTGGACTAGCATAAAATTAGACTCTTCAGTCTAATTTTTTTTTTTTTTGTCATCCTAAATCTTTTATGAAACAAAGTAGGAGAAACAATCAATTGGTCAATCTGGTTCCTTTTCCCTAAAAAAATATTTTCTCAAAATCATTTCATGGAATTGGTGGAAAAATGGCTGTCATGTGATATAGAACAAGGGAACCATCAAAATCCATTAGAACGAAATTAAAAAAAAAAGTCAAGGAATGATAAAGATGTTGTGGAGCGAACATGAGACTTTATTATACAGGAATAGTTGTGTGGTGCTAAGAAGTTGATAAATGCTCTGAAATCTCAATGCGTGGGAGTGGGTTACTTATCTGCAGGTCACTCCTCCGGCCATCTCACTTGTTCATGAGAGTTGAGAACTGAGAATAATAATAACATCAGTAACAGTAGCTAGCCTATATTGAGGCCTTCCTATATTGCAGGCACTCTTGCACGAACTTGACCTGTATTGGGATTTTTAATCCTCACAATAACTCTATGAGATAGGTCTTATTTTTACTATCTCCATTCTAAGGATGAGGAACCTGAGACATGGAGAAGTTTAATAATTTACCCCAGGTCACACACTCAATAAATGGCTTCACTGGGGCTGGCCCCATGGCATAGTGGTTAAGTTCAGTGCATTCTGCTTCATTGGCCCAGGTTCGCAGGTTTGGGTCCTGGGCGCAGACTTACACCACTCATCAGCCACACTGTGGCGGTGACCCACATATAAAGTAGAGGAGGACTGCCACGGATGTTAGCTCAGGGCTAAACTTCCTCAAGCGAAAAATGAGGAAGTTTGGCAATAGATGTTAGCTCAGGGCTAATCTTCCTCAGCAGAAAAGAAAGAAAAAAAAAGAAATGGCTGCACTGGATTCAGATTAGTCTGGTTCAGAGTCTGAGCTCTTCACATTCCACAATTATCCAGGAAGAAGGAAAAGAAGGTAGAAACAACAGTAAGTGTTTATTAAGTGCCGGCTACTTTACACACGATTATTTTATTTAACTCCCACAATACATCATTAGCCCCATGTTCTAGCCAAAGAAACAAGGAAATGCAAACTTAGGATTTAATGACTAGCTAGTAAAAGGACAAACTAGGCTTGAATCTCAATTTGTCTGATTGTAAACCTGTGCTTTTTCACTACATCATGAAATTTTGAAGTAGCATCCATGCACGACACTTAAGGAGAAAGTCTCTTGCTTAGCTCTTCATCCTTAACTTTGTACAATTTTAACAGGTTGGTTACCTGGTTTCCTTGTTCAAAGCCAGGAAATACACGGGGGGTTGGAGAGAAGATGGCAGGGTAGATGAATTCCGGGGGAAATAAAGTTGAGAGAGAAAATAAATGTCCAAGGGAGGAAAATTATTGCATAAACAATGTCTTAGCTATCCATCTTTAATTTCTTTGTGTTGTGTGTTGGTTAGATATGATTTTGTCCACTTGTTTATTACTCAAGTGAAGTTGTTTTAGTCCACTTGTTTACGCTAAAGACAAAAAAGGTTGTTGTTTTGATATAAGAATGAAGTAAGTTGTGTCAGGATGTCACCATCCCATCTGTTGTCATTGATGAGCACGCGGCAGCTCAGCTGATGACGAACACCGCTGGGGGCTTATCACTCAGAACATGTGGAGAAGCAACTATGGCGAGGGGACATTTAGGCTATAAATACCCAGAGTTTGTGAGGAATACCCTAGAGTTTTGGTCTGGGCAAGGCGACACTTTGCTGACCTAAATAAATTCTTGAAGACCTTGGGGTGTTAGCTCCTTCCGTGGTAAGGGCGACTCTTTTATCAGTAGGAGTGACAAACCGTGCAGTAGCCCCAAGAAGAAGATCAGCCTGCCCACCAACATTGGCATCAGCATTCCCTAGCAACATGGCATAGCGACAACGGACTTTTATTTTGCTGGTCATGTCACTGGCAGCTGGAAGTCAGCTCTTGGTTGGTTTGGCCTACTCATATAAAAACGTACACCTCAATTAAATTTGGACTTTATTCCTTTTATCTCCCCTTGTCTGGAACTATGGTGTGATTGCTCTATCATTGGTTTGGAGTATGTTATATTATGTTTTTATTGGCTTATTAAGAGACATTATTCTGTATGCTATTGGCTTATGAAATTGTTATAACTCCCACAGTGAACCCACATTAAATAAAATATTGACAAAGTCAGTCTCTGACATAAATTTGATCCCCCAAAAAAGCAATTTGAATAGAAATTTTGCGTTAAAAGCTATATGCTTTCTTTAAAGGAGTCACAGCAAAGAGATTGGATGAGTTCAACAGATAAATTTTGTGACTTTCAAAAATTAGTACAAAGATAATCCTCACTTACATTTAGAACACAAAAATTAAGTCTAATCAAAAGCACTTTTTTTTAAAACACAAAGCAGTTTATTTGTTTAGAAAGAATTCTTTGCCATTTATTCTAAATAACACAACACCAATAAAATGATGACTCCAAGGTTATTAAACCTACATCAGAGGGTACTCAGAGCTCGGACACTGGCTGTGGGATGCAATGCAGGTCCTGCGCCCGGGCATGCCCTCCTTCCCGCGTGCTAGGTGCATTCCCCTGGAGGCTCCAGGGTAAACTCTCCCTGCACTCTTCCGAGAAGTCAGCCCTATGTCCTCTGCCCCCACCCATCACCACCCCGCAGTTCCCACACTTTAGAGGGCTTCGGAGTGAGGAGGGCTTGTTAAAACACAGATTGCCATGCTCCACCCAGGGAATTTCTGATTAAGCGGTCTGGGCAGGGCCCAGGATTTGTATTTCCAACAAGTTCCCAGCTGCCACTGCTGCTGCCGGTTCAGCGACTACACCTTGAGGACCACAGCTCCGGAGAAAATCGGTCTCTCCATTGCTGCCCTGGTCTGTTCAGTTGTTTTATTTCGGCTTTCGCCAAGCAATTTGTGTCTCCTCAGGAGTCTGTGAGCTTCTTAAAGGAGCTGCTTTTCAGGCCTGGGTGAAGGGTAATAGCAGGGAGCTGAGGGGCTACTGGGAGAAGACGCCTGCTGAGTGGAGATGATCCAGGGCTGAGCAGTCTATCCAGTAACAAAGCTTTAGTCACAGGTCTCTGAAAACTGCATCCCAACGCTGCACCGTGTGGATTCGCAGGCCCAGTGGAAAGTCAGGGGCTGAATTAAACACAAAGAGCTAGTTTTTTAAAACAAGGCAGAAGCAACACTCTCTGGGACCCCTATAACAGAGCATGATACAGGGGGAGAGGTGTTTTTCTCCACTTCCCCACAAACCACCCTTTTGGCACCCCAGGAAATTCAGGCCATCACTGGCAATGCCTGAGTGAGATGATGGTGTGCAGCAGAGCAGGGCATCGTCCAGGGCTGTGCTGCCCACTACAGTAGCCATTAGCCACATGTGGCTATGGAAATGTAAATTTAAATAAATTAGAATTAAAGAACATTAAAAATTCAGTTAATCAGCCACATTAGCCACATTTCAAGTGCCCAATAGGCACGGATGGCTAAATGGCCATCCTATTGGACAGCACAGATATAAAACATATCCAACATTGCAGATAGTTCTATCAGCTAGCACTATTGTAAGGGCTTGGGTAATGACATAGTGGGAGTTAGATGGCATTTGTGCAGGACGATGTCATGCGTTTGTGGCCCTCCCCCACATGCTACTGCTGCCCAAGAATCTGCAAAGACTTTGCAAGACCCCCACAGACCTGTGCCAGAGAACAGATGCTCCCCTCTTTCCTACACTCCTTGGGCTAGGACTTCAGTGTCTAGTGTGGTGGTGGCACCCTTGGGACAGAGGGACACTGGTGGGACTGAGAGAAGGATTGTCCCCCAGCAGGGGTGAGTCACTCCCTGGGACTCCTAGCAGGGCCCAAGGGTCCTTCACATGGGGAGGGGCTGTCTGACATACTCGAGTTAAGTTGGGTCACACACTTTCCACTACCCTCAGTGTTAGCATGTGCCTTGCCTGGCTCCTTCTGCAGCAGAAACTTTCCCTCTGCTCTTTCATAAACTGAGTGAGCTCCTTCTCTGTCATCACTCCTCTTAAAAACAGCCCACTCTGCGTTAGAATTCAGGAATTGAAAAGGATGGCAGATGGAAAGGCAGAGTTGGGTTATCCAGGCCAATGATAGCATCTCCAAGACTTAGCCTGATCCCTTCTGTGTATTTTAGTAATGGGGTTTCCAGCCTTCCCTGGAGACATAGCTGTGGTCTGATAAATCTCTGTAGATGAGTTTCCTGATTGTAGGCAGCTTAAATGTTCCTTTATCTAATTCTTCCTTAACTCATCATAAAATGAGAAAACAGATTCTAATTTCCTCCAGGCTGGCTAAAGGCTAAGATGGGTGGGAGGGAAAAGCATTCCTGGCTGTCTTTCAGGTTGCATGTGGGACTTGAATTCTAGCAAATGGGCCCTTGTCTGTCTCTGCCATGAACCATTGCAACTCCTCAGCCTTCAGTATCGCAGAGGTCTTAGTCAATGGCTGGGTAACAAAATGAAGACCCTGCTGTATGTCAAGCACATTGAAGGGAGAGGGAAACAGCCAAAGAACAGAATGCTCAACCGGATCATTGAACTGGGTCCAGTATGGGGTTTAGAAATGTCTAGAGTGTGCGGCGATGGGCAACCAGAAGTCTGTTCATGCAAGAGCTAAGGAGCCTCCTGGGAGATGACTTATTTTAAGAGGATCAGAATCAAGACATTGCAAGCTTGATCTGGTAGGTACAAAGTCTAAGCTGGAAGAGGGGAGGGAATCCCACATGCATCATGACATTTGTGACCCAGATTTGTCTCCAACCCAGATGGGGGAGGACGACACAAGCAGAGCACTCTAGGTACACCCTGGAAAAGCTGTTTGACTTCAAACTGTAAAACACTGAGCCCAAGCAGCACTGCTTGGGAACTTCTCTAGCAGAGTGTGACAAAGCGGAGTGGTGAGCAGAGGTGTTCTTTCACACCTTCCAACAAAACCCATGTAGCTTTGGCACTTGAAGAGTTCCAGGCCATCAAGATGGCACAGAAATGGGATAGGAGGCAGGGCAGCCCTGGTGGGACCCAACGAAGCCCTCATTGAACTGGAGAACTCAACAGTCCCAGGGGATATTGAGTTCCCACAGAACAGAGGAGATGTGAGCAAAGGAGAAGGATGGGATACAGTAACAGGACAAGACAATTAGCTCTCTTCTTCTTCTCTTCCAGAAAATTCTGTTCAGAAGCCATTAAGTGAGGTAAAACAAAGTAGGCCTTTGCACCTGAGTGGGGAGTGGCCATGGTGACCCAGAGCAGGTGGGTGGAGTCAACCAGGGTGAGGAGGAAGTTCACACAAGGGGGTGGTGGCCCCCGGTGAAGTTGGGGCCCATGTGGAGTGAGGAGAGCATCCACATACGAGGGTGGCCCCATGTGTGTCAGAGCCCAAGTGTGGTGAGGAAGGTATTTTAAACAAGGTGAGAAGAGAGTCCCTTTGGAGGGTGTCCTGCCACAGGGACTCAGATCCTGAGTGGAGTGAGGAGGGGTCTGCATAGGAGGGTGGCCCCGTGCAGGGTGTCACAACCCTAGTGGCTGCCTATCTGTGCAGGCACCCTAGCACTTGCTGTTGGTGCGAGCGGAGTGGGGATGGCGTCCATGAAGGAGGGAGGTCCAGGGCAGGATGCTGGTGTCCTCACAGAGGACGACCTGGCATGGGTGTCTGGCCTGAGGGTGGCTATGAGTCTCACTCTTCTTTGTACCTTGGGCTAGCAGAGTGTAAGGTGAGTGGTAGGCACCCAGGTAATGGTAATTGTTGAATGGACAATGAAATAAATGAAAAAGACCTGGGTTCAAGTCCCATCTTTACCACTTACTAGCTATGTAACATTGGACAAGTATTTTTGTCTCTGACTGGGGACTACATATGAAACCACTATGAAAAGCTACAGTTCTGTACATGTGTGAAGGATCCAATCTTGTTCTACATAACGGGAAAGAGGACCATGGCGTTCTCTGATGGGCAGAGAAGAGAACACTTCCTTGGCACTGGGTGGCAATCAGGAGACCTGGACCAGTCAGGTGACCTCAGGCAAATGATGCCCCTGGCCTGGGCAGATGAGGACAACATGCTGGCTGTGTTCTGAGGTCTCAGTCCTCAGAATTTCCCTCCTGACACTGCGGGCCTCGTGCAAGCAGAGGGGACAAACTTACTGATAAAGCCGCGTGTGATGTGAAGGTTACCTAGAAGACCTCTTATCGAACACTGACCCCTCTCCCTATGCGCACACTCCAGCAGAGTTATGTGGGTACTTAAACACAAATTCATAAAGGACAGTTTCACTAAATATTTTTAACTTATTCTAAACTGAATTATTTTGAACTTTTATACCGGCATTTTTTAATTTCATTTTTAACTAATGTCATTATCTTTACAGCCCTGAGTTAGACTTTCCTCTACATCCTTGGGTGGTCTTTTCTACTCCAATGACTTCAGATAGCATTTTTTAGCATTGCCCCAAATTTTACCTGCACCAAGATCTTCTCTCCTGAACTTCAGATTCAGATATCAAGCTGCCTCCTGCCTGTGACCACTTGGATGTCTCCCAGGTCCCTCGCCTTCACAGAGTGAATTCTGAACCCATCAGCTCCCTCCTCCCAACACCACCCCAGGCAGCTCCTCTTACAGCGCCCTCCCCAGTTCAGAGAACAGCCGCACCACGTACAGCACCCCCTTCCCCTCACTCCCACAACAGTCAGTCCTGCTAAATCCCGCTGATTTTACTTCCTGAGTAGTTCTCAAATCTGCCCATGGCTCTTGTCTCCATTGCCAATATCCCGAGTCGAGGCACCATCATCTCTCACCTGTAATACTGTGAACTGCCTCGCAGCTGGTTTCCGTGGCTCCAGCCTTGCCATAATGCCCCCTCCGCCCCCTGCAAATTATACAGACACACAACACTGAACCCTGAAAAATGTAGCTCTGAACTGTCGTTTCCCTGTTGAAAACTAATTGTTCACTATTGCCCTTAAGATAAAGTCCAAAATCCTTGGCACAGTTTATAAGCAGCCTTATAACATGGCCTCGGCCCCCAGGGTGATCACCTCATCCAGATTGGCCAGGGGCTTCCCTGGATGTAGCACTGAAAGGCCCAGGTTCTCCTAGTGCCTGGCACACCGAGCCAGTTCATCACTCTACTTTCTCCTCTTTCCCCATCCCCCCTCCACGCCCCCAGTATTTCCACCCCTTCTGAATGTCTTTCATTAACACTGTCTGTCACCTAGGGCTTCACACTTGCAGTCCTACTGCCTCCTACTGAGGACACTCTGCCCCATCCCCTTGGTCTTTTTAACTTTCCCATCCCCCTCCCTACCGTGGAAAGGTGCACAGGGCAGGTCAGATGACTCGCCCCTGCTGTGTGGCACTTTCCAGCTCCCCCTGTGACACCTAAGCACTTGATTTCAATCTCTGGGTTATTTGGATGCCTCACTCCCTGACTGTAAGTGCTGCAGTCAGGGGCTGTATTGTCTTTGCCCCCTGTTGTCACCTCACATCTGGCACAATGCCTGCTGCAGATTTCAGTGGTGATTTTTAGATTCATCGTGATTCATTCAGACATAGCCTATACACAGAGCATGTGTATGTCCATTATTCTGGCTCTTAAACAGGCAGTATCAGAAAGAGAAAATGACTGGCTTATAAATACATGATGAAATGTCAACTATCACTCATAATTAAACAGATGCAAATTAAAATAATGAGGAGATTCTTTTTTTTTTTTTGCTGAGGAAATTCACCCTGAGCTAACATCTATTGCCAATCTTCCTCTTTTTGTATGCTAGCCACCACCACAGCATGGCCACTGACAGACGAGGGATCTAAGTCCATGCCCGGGAACCAAACCCGGGCCACCGAAGTGGAGTGTGCCGAATGTAACCACTAGGCCACCAGGGCTGGCCCCAAGGAGATTCATTTTTACCTACTAGATTGATGAAGATCACAAAGTGTTGAGAACAGGGGGACACCAGCAGGCACTCTCCTCACTGAGGCAGGAATATAAACCTGCAAGAATCCTTCAAGAGCAACTTGGCAATCTCTACTAAAAGTTTAGCTGCACATTTTTTTTTTTTCACAATTTCACTCCTAGAAATGTATCCTTCAAATATTCTTACACATGTGTTCAGGAAGGTCACACAAGAATATTCAACAGGTCATTGTAACCAATGAGGAAAAAACACTACCTACCCATCAAAAGGAGACTGGTTCAATAATTATGACAGTCCTTCTAATTGAGAATTATGAAGGAATTTTTAAAAAATGGGTTCGATTTACATATGTTCATACAAAGCAATCTTTGAAGTGGAAAAAAATGAAAAAAGTAAAGTCCGCAATGTGTCTATTTTAAGTTGTGATTTTAAAAGGAAATGTACATAGGTGTTCATATGCATAAAATATTTCTGGAAGACTACACAAAAAACTCTTAAGAGTAATCACCTCTGGGGAGACAGACTGAGACCTAGGATAGGAGAGAAACTTATTCATTGTATATTCTGCTTTTAAGTATTTGAATATTTTACTATAGGCAAGAATTAACTTTGCAATTATTACAAAAAGAAAACTCTGTTTGTTTTTTTTTTAAAAAGAAAGAAGCTAGTGAATTTGCATCTGTCTGAGATTCTAGCAATTTTCCTTCCTCCCTTCCTTCCTTTTCTTTTATTCTCTTCTCCTTTCTAAGAAAATTGTCTTTCTAGAACCTTCTAAAAATATTAAACATTAAATTAGACCAGTTTCCTAACCCTGAGTTGGGAGTCCAGGTTTGACTGGGTGGGTCCATCATTGCTTGTGCTAAGTGCTGACATCTCTAACTTGATGAATGGGGCACCTCTTAGGCTTGCATTCATCCTCTCAGCCCACCTTTTTACTTCAGCCAGATCTTAGCCTCCAGCTATAACTGCTCTCAGCACCTCATTTCTCTCACTTTCTGCCCCAGCACTCCTCTGCCACCACCCTGTGGAGTGCCGAGGAAACCTATTTTACCATTCTGACACTTGGGGAGACCTGGAAGTAGAAGCAGGTTAACAACCCATGGGGTGACTTGAGATCAGCGAGAGCCAGTGGTGGATAAATACTCCCCTCACAGCTCCTTACAGGCCCCGGTTTCCCACTGGACTGGCCAAGTCCATACCTGATGCTTGGATTGGCTTTCCCTCCTCCCCATTTACTCTCCCCAGCCTCTCACTCCTGTTTCTTGGGATCCCTTCCCAAAATAAACTAGCAGCTCGTGTTGTAGAACTGCTTGCTGTGGGAACCCAGGCTAGAACACCCTCTGTTACAATCACTGTGGAGCTCTGGCACCCATGTCCCTGGGAGCTTCTCTCTCCTAGTCTTCCTGAGCTGTCACCTCTATCCTCCAGGTCCTTATGCTCGTCTTTCCTCCCTCCATTAATGTGCGGATGGCATTCACAAACCTAGCTATTCTTTTCCAAAATTGCCCTCAACAGACAGAAAAGCACATTATAGATTCCCCAGGCAGAAGCATCTGTTCTATAAATTAACTATACTCTTCACATTGGGACCATCCTGTATCCGTCTTAGATTCCTGAACTCTGATTTGGTGATTCAAGAAAGGAGTCTAACCCATCTGCCCCTGATTCTCTGTAAGGTGGAGAACACACCCGGTTTGCTCATTTGGAGACCAAGACTTCATGCACAGAAAGTGCTGGACCAACCTGGCAAACCCTGGGTGAAGGTCACTACTGTTTCATCACCTTCTGGTCAGAGTTCCTTCAAAGGGCCGCTGATACCTTTCAAACAGGCCTGGAAAAGTTGTCTGATGGTCTCTCATTCCCTCACCCTGCCCTTTTCTTGTGTGGGACTTTCTCCTTTCTCTGTTACACTCTCAAAACAAACCATCCTCAGTGGGTGTGGTAAATTTCAGTGAAAGAAATTTCAAGTTGGGAATGATGAGAAGACCTACGGGGGGGCATTATATATAGCCTGTCTTTAATGGCCATAATAACATAATTACCTTTTCATTACTGTCTGCCTTTAAGAAATAAATAACATTTTTATTTGAAAATCAAACCAGACTAGATTGCACAGACTGCCAAGATTCAGTAAGGAATGTGTAAATACGTAACATGGCCCTATTATTTACAGACCTGACTATGATTTTCTTTAGGAGAACAACTTCATTTGGGTCCTCTGTAGACCTGAGTCAACTTAATCTGACAAAATCCAAATTTATCATAGAAACCTAGCAATTTAGAGCTAGAGAGGCCTTTAGGAATCACAGAGTTGAAAGACCATCTTTTGCCCAAGGTCATGTGATGACAAGATGTGAACATGCAAGGAGTAAGAAGAGAGTCATTCCAACTGACCACCTGGAGAAAGGCCTTGGATTCTTGGATTCAGTAAAAGGTGCCTTCACACATCTTTTTTATCTATTACATTCTGAGATTCGGAGGTTGTAATCCCCATTGTTCAACTGAGGAAATCGGTTCAGACAATAAAGTGACTTATTCCAAGTTACACAGCTAATCTGTGACAGAGATTGGATTGGAATCGGATTCCAACTCAAGGCCAGTTTTTTTCCATTCACCATGATATCTCAGCTGGCTCTGGTTTCTGGAGTCTTGGGTAAACTTTGACTGATGTCTCCCCAGCAGTAGTCCTGCCCCTGCCCATCCCCCACCTATTCCTCAACACCTCACTCTGACCCCGGCCTCTCTCTCAGCTCCAGGGCCTTCTCACACTGGGGATGAAGTGAGCTGCTCCAAGCCCCTACCATCACAAATGCCTTCCTTTGGACGCACTTCTTACTTCTTATTCTAAGCCCTTTGTCAGTTGTTTTCTTCACTTTCTCCTAGAATGGCCCTTTCAAAACAGAGCTATTTACAATTTCCTACTTTCAAAAAAAATTAAAAATGAGAACCACATTTTAGGTTCTTTCCTCTTCTATCACTTACATGCTAAAATCCAAAGCCTTTGGCCTGGCATTCAAGGTGCTCTGTGACCCGGCACCCGCTGTGTCAACCACCTCCCTCTCACTGTGCTGCTGTACTTCCATTATAGCATTGCACACAGTCAGCCCTGTAATACACGACATTGAATTCAATTTTATGTCCAATAGAACAAACATCTACCACAGGGTCTAGACATAGTGGGTGCTCAATGACGGTGTCATAGTAGGTGCTCAATAGAACAGAACAGCGTGGTCCATATGGCCTATCTAGACCACACCACTCCATCGGGGGCAAGTCTGGGACTGCCACCCTCTGTAAGAGACACTAACACACAAAGGGGTGGATTAGCCCCCTGTGTATAGTATCCCGGAACTGGCTGACCTAAATAATATTTCTGAGCATGCTACTGATGCAACTAAGGTTTTCTTAAATCATCACAGCAAGATGCCTGATGTGTTTTCTACAAACTTTATATGAAATGTATCAATGTCTGTCATTGACCCCACAAACTGTAACTGCTCACGACCGGGTGAAGAGGAGTGATTCTGAAAGGCCCTCAGACATGGCAGCACTCTCTTCTAGTGCTATGTGCTGGGGTCCCAGATGCCTTACAGAGGAGCCTACAGTCTAATGGGGGTGGAGGGTCAGGGAGTTGGCAGAGAAACAAACCCGCAGAGAAGTACTGATAATACAGCAAGACAAGACCTGAATAGGGGTATTGTGTAGTGGGTGGGGGTGGCAGGGAGAATCAGGATTAAGTGAGCGAGTTTATGGAAGGTGCCTACACAGTGCATGGCACACAGTAGATGCTCAATAAATGGCAACAAGTCTTATTCTCACTATCACACATCCTGCTGGGTGCACTGTGCCTGTGTCTGCCTGCCAGGCCTCCTCCCACCCCCGCCATCTGCTCCAGCCTGATTTTCTGATCACTGAGAAACACACCAAATTCTTTCCCTCCTT